GTTATTTTTTTTATAAGCTATAATGTTTTTCTTTCCTGTGGTAATAGAAATATAGACAAGTGTAATAGTATGTAAGTCATAAATCTATCTTATAAAAGATGTATAGTGAAGAAATTTAAAGCTTTATATTGGCACGCCTTAACTGGCCCAGAAGCATAATCTTTGAGAAAAGGGAGAAAAACAAATTTCTTTGTCTGTCTCACTGTCTTGTAGGTAATAAGACTGGTTCACACGAAATTTAATAGTTAGTTAGGCAATATTTAGTCAACACATTTTATAATTGAGCCAAGAACAAAGAATTTACAACTAAATTGTTCGAATGGAATGTAAAAACATGTAACAAATTATATAGTTATGTTGCTCTCTTTATTTCGATTCACATAAACTTGCGTGCACATATGCAAGCGACGTTAATTACGTTTAATGCACTTATCTTCAGGAAAATCAAAATACGTAATCGAATTATCACACTTTACGTAAATTTGGTGCGCTCTCGCTTTTCATAAAGCTGTGGTCTCCTATAAAAGTTGTAAGTAGATCGCATAAAGCATTGGTAAATAATACTTTTTTGTTAGAAATGAATATTTCATATTATAAACCTTGTTTTATAATTCTTATTTATATGCTGAAAAGTTGGTTTGAACACGCTAATCACAGGAAATGCTGTTTCGAATTGAAAAAATTTTTTTTTTTTTGGGGGACCCTTTTTCAGAAGAGGCTTTTTTTTTTCCCCCCCCGCCGGGGAAAAAGGGGGGGGGGGGGGGGGGAAGAAGGGGGGAACGGGGAAAGTTATTCATCTTCAGGGGCTTACGAAGCGTGCGCTACGAAAACAGTTTAAGATGCCTAAAGTATTTCAGATGTCTCCTAACCATTTAGATATACCTTGCATCTATTTCTCTTTCAAATAAGTTTTACTAATTTATGTGTCGTTTTAAACCGTTAAAGTGTTTTATTTAAATGTATGCCTCGCGTAAACTACAGACAGTGTCCATTTTTCTTTATTCGAGCACAGTAGTGGAACCTGTTGAAACAAAGTGCGTTTATAGTAGACAAAAGCCTTATTGACGTATCGTAATAAATAGTACTGTGACCTCGAACTTACGCATAATAAGCCCATGAGCGGTTCGCCTTGGCTTGTACCAATGTGACAAATTGGATTACGTTTAACTTAACTGTAATTATGTGCGCTTTTGAATCAAGTTTAACTCTCTTTTGCTTTTTATTTGCCCTCGGCTCTATAATTGATGTATCTCTTTAATGACAGAAACATGAGGTTAATTTAAAAGATGATTAAATATCCCAACCATATAACATTTCAACGATGGGTTGAAAACCTACGTTGGTTTAGGAAATTCCGAAATCCAATGACTGTTGTTTATGATAGACTAGCTGTGCCAGCGAGTTCGTCCGCGAGAATCGTTATTTTAGACTGAATTACCGTGTGCCTTATCGTATACATCATAATTTATTGGTTAAATCTATTACATTTATTGCATTTGGTGTCTATCGTATTATGTGTATTGACAATGTAATCATTTTCAACGGTTCTAAACGCGAAATTAATTGAAAATTACAGCAAGTGTGTCGATATTTAGCTCGTAGCTAGTGAAAAGCAGTCAAAACGTCGGATCTTTGTGATAAATAACTTATATATTTCGCGTTTCACCCCGTTTTTTTTTGTGCAATACCAGTTATTAATGATATTGTATGCTATTGTCGTCTTTCCTTTTCACATATTTTGTTTCGTTATTATACTTTTTTATTGTTGTAAGTTCTTATTCTAAATGTAACTCAGAGTAGTGTGAAGTCCATAATGATCACATCATGTCCGTTCTTTAACAGGCAAGTAGTGGATCAGACTTCTGTGCCCTGCCCGACCGAAACTATTGTTTGTTGCCCTGGGACCCTCACTTGTACATACGTTTAACCGTTTGGCTACAGAGGCGGTCATCTTAGAGTAGTAAACTTTTAGAAATATTCATTAACTCTCAATTTCTGTGTGTTCCAGAAAAATGTGATTACTAAAAAATTATATGAAGTGAAACCTAGATTGAAAAGTAGGTGATACGTGTATCTGTGTTGTACCAACATTACGAAAATTGTGTGAGTTATTAAAACAGTATGCGTAACGCGATATCATCATTTACAATATCGTAAATACTATTGCAAGGAGCTAAGTGCAGTTATGCAACATTTCGAACTGAGTTTTAAACAATATTTCATTATAATTTACATTTATTAAATGAGAAATAATGCTAGAGAAAAATAAATATAAAGCAAACGATTGAAACATTACAGTTCACATTAAAATTAATACAATATATTTTGGGATGAACAGTATGCGGACGAGAGTCGAATCTGCGACCAACGGGGTAGCGCTCCTAACGTAGTCTGAAATTGAGTTATTTTTTTCCGGATGTTTGTAATGAATATTGAGACTGTAGTTTGCGTAAGCTGTACATACACATTGAAACGGTTCAAAACGCTAAATCTTAACTTATTGTTATCCCCTTTTGCAAAGCATCCGAAACACCAGGCTAAAGTTGAATAAATTGTAAATAAGTTAACTAAAACATTTCGCGTAATACACTGTTAATAGTGTATTAAATGTTGAAATATTGGTTAAATATTATCGGTGACAATATCTGAAAGTAGTACAGAAGGGCCTCGATAATCCGGGCGTAATGCGTACTGTGTCAATTTAGTGATGTCAACATCGTGATGCCGTCACGTAAACAAAGACAAACTATTTAAAAACTTTATGATTAAACCTTGTTCTATAAATTTGTAATTTAAAAATTGATTAAAGAAACTAAGGTTAAATATGTGTTTTGACAACATTAAATAGGTATGACACTTTTCGGATTATCGAGACGTCCGTTTCAGATAATCCGAAAAGGGTCTTGTTTTTGCGTCTCCGGATAAACGAGGCCCTACTATAGTATGTTTATCTTATGAAGATAATTAACAAAGTGTTTCGTACTTGTTCGGTAAGAAATCAGCGATCGTAAATCTTTCAAACAATAATTTCTGATCTAATTCAGTTGTAGAACTCAATTAATTATGCGGGTTTTAATTGTTTTTTATCGTGTCTTCGAATCTAAAAAAATCTTTATAATTTTGCACGGTTAGTTGAGCTTACATAAAACTATAGTGTGGTGAAACTATAATTAAACCCGAAACATTTTAAGTCAAGTTTAATCGTGTTTCAAATCAAATCATTTAATCCACACACACACATAAAATGATACACAAAAATAAAAATAAATAATAATAATATATGCACGGAGGGACACCACTCAGCTTATGTTGTACCTGGAAGGCACAATGCCGATTTTCAGTGATGCCCCACGCTTGACATTTGAAAAAAGAATATTATTACATTAATTACAATAAAAAAAAAAACAATTTCGTTTCGATTCAGTCAGTTTGAATGCCCCAATCGCAGGAACTACTGGTTCGAATTGAAAAATTATTTTTGTCGGTTAGCGCATTTATCGACGTATGCTATAATACATCGCGCTGTGACTAATACGAGCGAAAAGGAAGAAATGTGAAAAAAATGGGAAAAAGTATTCATCATTGCGGCTTTCCGATGCTTACACTGCCAAACGGTTCAACTTCGCGGACGTCTCTTACACGGCTAGTTATCTAGTTTTCTTCTTTAACAACAAAGGATTAGTGGTGTCCGTCCAGATACATCTATTGTATTCTAGTATTGTTTATATTTATATTTTGTATGTCTGTATGATTAGATTTAATTTGATGTGATCTTTTAAATTCTTCGATTGACGGGACCAATATAGAGCGCTGAACACACGTGATTGTAATAAGGAACGTGTTGATTGCTTGAAAATGGCACAGACTATCCTCTGTTTATCTAGTCGCTGATAGATGTCTTAAACATGTATCTTGCTGATAGTGTGTTTGCTCACGTCTTGGTGGCCGTTTAAAATAACATAGATAACGAATGGATAAGTAATAATTCCAGCGGTTTTATTTATGAGAGATATTATGAGAATCAAAAAAATGCGAGTCGAATACAAAGATTTCCGCACCATTTGTTTTTCAATGTGACCATGGCTGCTGCAAAGCATCCGAAACCTCGGGCCGAAGTTAAAAATCATTTTCAAATAAGTTTAACTAATATATCGCGTTTTAAACCGTTAAAGCGTTTTATTTAAAAGAATATAGTATTAAAAACTTAAAGTAAAACACATGTTAATTTATTAATTAAAATAAATTAAAACTACTCAAAATAAAATTTCGTATCTGTTATTAAACATATATAATAATATTTTACTTTACTATATTCTACTTCACTACAGTTACAAATGTACAATCAATATGAGGTGAGTATGGGGTCTACCCAACACGGAAAAATCAAAAACTTGGTAAGGGTAAATAAAGTATCTTTATTTTAAAAGTAATAATACATACGAAAGTATTAAATAAGAATTGCCTGTAATTTACGCGATTAGATCACTTTTAAATAAAACACGTTTAACGGTTTTTAGCGCGAAATATATTATAAAACCTATTTTTAGTTTATTTTAACAACAGCCCCTCTTTAACCTTCCGCTTTGCATCAGCCGTGGTCACGAGAGGTAGTAAAAATAATACGATAAATTAAAAATAATTTGCTTTATATAATTCGCGTTTTAAATGGTTATAAATGTTTCAATTATAAGTTAAAGATTATTTAGAAAACATGTTGGTCATTGTAAGTTACACTACCACTACCAGACGCCAGTCCAGCAAAATCCATTAACGATGGGAAAGTCAATTCAAGAGTTTAATTTATACTAAGTAGGTATGTAAATATGAATTTGTTATTGGAACATTTACTCTATAACCAGATAATATTTATGGCACCAAAGCAATTTTTTCACGCCATTTAAAATTCAATTAACCGTTTTTATGGATAAAAGCCATGATCACTTTCTAATGATTTAATCGTCAGCTTAATTTAAGATTTACATAAACAGCGAAGAATTCTAATGCGTATAGGTAATTTATTTAATTAATATAAATAATATATGTGTATATTAATTTCTTAGATTTACTTAATATATTCATAGGATTATCTATTTCCTATATGTATCTTAATAATATTGTTTTTCCAATGGTAGCAATGTATGACTTACAATCAACGGGTTGTGGGTTCGATGTGTTTCTCCCAAACAATTTACAATTCTCAAATACAAAATGGGTGGTAGGAGTATCGAAGTTTCTAAACCATCGTCCACTGATGGAAATGGCGTAAAGTTTAATCGCGTTTTACTTTCAGTCTGTTGATTTCCGAATGTCCAATTACATAGATCGACAGCGCATCTTGTTGAGATGTAATATGGTATTGCACCCTCCATCAAGTAAACCTCTTCCATAACATTCCTGGTCTGTCAAAAAATATTTTCTTAACAGTATTATCTATATCATACACAGAGTCAATAGAACAATTTCACCATTTATCGTTTTTATATTTTCATTACTCTAAATTGATACAGATAATTAATTTCAAATGTCAAAATATCTCTCAATATGAACAAATATTTTTATAACACAGTCGTATATACATATAGAATCCTTAGAATAGGAACGAATTCACCCCGCCGCCTGAAAAAGCATGTTTAACACCAATGCAGCGCTGTAACTTATTATCTGAAAGGCTATTTACAAAGAAATGTAGCGCTTTTTTCGCTTTAGGACTATTGTGCCACACGAGACGCACTGGCTGCTATTAGGCTGTTATATTTAGGACTGCGACTCTGTTTATAATGCATAGTTGCGAATAGCTATATAAAGTGTTATGAATTCTATAGTCTGTCGACTGTAGTCTGTAGACATTTCTGTGTCTATTTTACTTATCGATTCTACAGACAAGTTATTAGACAGACGTGCCCTGCAAATGTATTTTTCTGGGCTATAAAAATCGAATTAAGGATCCGTCGTGCTTAACGCAATGTGTTTCAATCATTGAGTCGTGGTGGTCATACATATACTCAAGTCACAGTAGTGTTAAATTTATTTATTGTGATTTAAAGAACGCTCTCGTTTAGAAAACAAACATCTACAAAACCTTTTAATATAAGTGCAACGCATGGACTAAGATATAGAATTGTTTTATATATTTTTAATAAAAAAACTGACATTGAAGACACGTGTTAAATTTACGTCACGAAATACAAAAGTGAAAAACACGCCAGGTTTAGAGAGTAATTCCTGTTTTTATCTATCTTAATAAAACGCCTTATTCGAGTATAATATTTCTCCCTAAACACTTCTGCTGTTACCAATAGCAACAAACAAGGGCGCTGAGAAATCTAGCGCTACGTAAATTCCAGCAATTGAGCGCTTTTTTCTAAACGCTGTTACCCGCGAGCTATTTAGCAAATTAGCGCTTTTCGTCCATTGTGTTATCCGGCGTCTCGCAAGCAGCAAGTGGCGTTCGCTCCTCAGTCGCGCCGCGCGCACCGATCCCTACGCATCGTCGTTGCTGCAGCGGTTGTCAGCAATAGTCCGCAGTCCGCCCTTATCAAAATATTCCCGCATTGAGATCGATCTGCACGTCTACTCTGTGATAACGTCCCGATTTCCAGTGACGTCACGACTTCTTGTTTATAGTGATTTTGTGCGTTTGTTCGTGAACACATTAGTTGCCGGCCTGTTATTTATTTGTTTTGATTCGATTGATAAGAAGATATCGTGAGTACTTATTGATTTATTTGTTGTATACAAAAGATAATTATTTATAGTATCCAATCGTTACGATCGTGTGCAGCGGTTTTAAAACTCAAGCCTGTTATACAAATTGCGACACTTAGAAATAATATTATAAATAGTAATTAACTGCGAAATACATGTGGCCTTCAGGTGGCAAGAATTAGTTAATACACCTTGTATTACTATTAAAATCCAGTCTATTAAACTATAAAGGTTATAAAGAGACCCTGATATTTCAATTTCCTGAGTAAAGTAAAGGTAACGGTTAAACGAAGGACAGATTTAAATTAAGAACATTATTCCAAATAGTCTTAAGTGCTAACGACACAGCTAGAAAAAAGAAATCAAACACACATCCGCTTTCTAGGCGAAGCGTCAAAAACGTATTTATTTTCGTACACAAACATTAAAAGAGTGAAAAAAGCGTCGGAGATAGAAGACGAGATGTTAAGATAACACCGTCTAAGACGATAGAAGATTCTACAAAATGTATTTGTAATATTTACCTATAATTTACTAGTGATGTGCGTAAATTTCGGATCGTATTTTGGCAATTGGAACTCAACTTCGGTTTATTAAGTAGGTATTGTCTGTAATTTACGCGAGCATTTAGATAAAAAACATAATTGGATTAACCAATTAATGGATACTAATATATTTCACGTTTCAAACCGTTAAAAGTGTGTAGTGAAAAGTAGTTTTTTACTACGGCTTAATTAGTACTTATTTTAAGTATGACTAAGCTTTTAATGTTTACCATTTATAATAATTATCTAGTACTCAGTGACATTTAATGCAATTGTTATAAGTTTATAGTAGTCTTGGTGCACACAAAAGAGTAGCTAGTAGAAAATACACACTTACTGACTCCCTTTTTTGATGTTAATAATTTCTAGAAGAAAATTAAAAAAATAAACATAAACAGAAGCACTGCCAATATTTCCATTTTAACCAAATGTTCGGTTTCGGTTAAAACCACAAGCTCATCTCTAGTAATGACCGATTGAAATTGCACTTCTCGCACCTGCCACATTATCTTGGTCTATTTCAAATGCCATCAGCGACTCTCTAGAACCTTAAACACTTCAAACTATCATCTTAGAGGCTCAAAGCGAATTGAATATTGCTCTTTCTGTTGTAAACAGTTTTTATTGCATAAACGTAGTGATTCCAACGATCCCGTTATCAAACTACGTTTATAGTAATACTAGCTGTGGCCGCGACTTCGTCCGCGTCTCGTCGATCTTGCAAGTTAATCACAAAGACTTACTATCGCGGACAGTTTTGGACAATTTGAGGAGGAATCATTCTTTCATACATTTCATATCTTTTGGCTATCTTGAATCTTTTTCGCCGCGCACGTAACGAAAACCGTCAGAGAATTATAATTTTCCACATTTCCTTCTGTTTCTTCGCTCCTTTTAGCCGCAGCGTGATGTTTCACAGCTCAAAGCCTCGGTAAAACTACAAACGAATTGTTCAATTAGAACCAGTAAGTTCCTGAGATAATCGCGTTTAAACAAAATTTTTCAGCTTTATAATATTACTATTCCAATTTTTGCTATAAGATCCCAGATATTTGAAATGAATTATATTTGAAAACTTTGCATAGATTATGAATAAAAAATAAATTGAAAAAAAAATGTACTTCCGCAAGGTGCAGGTAAGTTGATAAAAATCAACGATGAGGTGTAGGACTCGGTAGCTCAATTGACAAAGCAACAGAGTCCAAAATATTTTAAATTTATTTTCGATTTATAATCTATGAATTGAATAATTATTACGCATGAAGAGTTTTATCACCAAGTATATAAATAAGATATCTTGCACGTCTACGCTATATTTGTCCGTAAAATGTTTATAATTAAACAGAAAGTGAAGTGTCAATAACCGGTATACCTCAATCATATTACACAATTCGTAATGTCGCGTGCCTGTCGTTGATATGATATGTGAGGGTTTTTTAGAAGACGAGATGCATTGAGCTCGCCCGCGATAGTCAGTGAGCCACGCACGCGACCTGAATGCCAGTAGACCGACAAAGCCTTGATTCATCATCGCTAATAGAATATGGTGTTAATTAATTAGGAAAGTAACTGTGAGCTCGGAATCATGTCGCTAATACAGTTGCTTGGGGACACGATTCGTACGCGTTGTATAGCAGTAAGTTTCTTTTGACCGGTTTTTTTTCTAGATTGGAAGGATAACGATTAACGCAAGCATGACGCTGAAACATGGAGGTCGTTAAAAATGCAAACGTAAGATGCAAAAAAAATAGACAAACCTTTTGTTTTATGATAGAGCATATTTTCCTTTTAGTATATGTAGATAATTATTTATAATTTATTGGTAAACTGTTGATTTAGTACTGCCTGTACTTTACGCGTATAGAAAACATTTCAATAAAATACTTTTAACTGTTAAAGCGCGAGAATATAGTAACTACGGCCATCAGGCCAATGAAACATCGGTTTCGGATGCCTTGCAGCAGTCGTGATCACAACAAGCAACCACCGTCAGCAAATTTTACTTTTAAGTTTAATTACAACAAAATAAGATTCAGTCAATATATACGAGAACTAAAAACTTTTTCATTTTAATTCTTTGAAAATAAAAAACGATTTTTGTTTTGTTCAAATACAGGTTATGGCATTGAATGGTTACCAAAATCCACAATGGCTGTTTAGTACACCAATTCAGGTATTAAAACTGGACAAAAGAAATAAAACCACGCGGCGTCTAAGCCTTTTGTGTTTCGACGAGAATTTCGACAAAACAATAATAATACAAATAGCGTCGAAAACATAACTCTTTTGTGTAACGATAGTAATAGTAATTGTCATTTTACGAAGTGAATATCTAGGACCACTGTTACAATAGTTCAGTATAATAGGAACACAGTTTATTAACTGTAGCAAATAAATAGTAAATCAATTGAAATGTGATTTTTGTAGCGAACGCACTTGTTTTTACTGTACGAGTACAAATGTCGAATTTTCTTATAATAAATTCCGTCAGTCTCCCCGTGACCACGGCTGCTGCAAAGCATCCGAAACGTCGGGCCGAAGTTTAAAACATTTTCAAGTTAGTTTTTACTACTATATCGCGTTTTAAACCGTTAGAAGTGTTTTATTTAAATGTGTCTATCGTGAACTATAACAGTATATATAAATTGACCTGGTCAACATTTTGCTACTAAAACAATATCTTGTCATCAACATCAACAACTATATCAACATCATGCTGTCAACTACAGCAAACGCATCAACTTCTCGCTCCAACTACAAAATATAGATACTTAACTTTTTTCCTTCAATCCGTCCATTCCGCACAAGAGAAAATAGTGACCACAGTTGCTGCAAAGGATCCGAAACGTTGGGTCGTAGTTACAATTATTTTTTAAATTAGTATAATATATATCGCGTTTTAAACCGTTAAAGGGTTTTATTTAAATATCAGAGCTATTTTAAACATCGTGGTTCAAAACCGTAAAGTCAATTTATTATAAATAGTAAGAACGCAACATTTTAAATAAAATTTAAATAAAACGCAAATATGCTATCTCAACATAAAGTTTGAATATTTAATCTTAAACACATTTACTTAATTATGTATGTTAGATATTAATTATACTTAATATTCGTGTTTGTTATTATTTCCAATAAACTCGCAAGGTTATTTGCATGAGGTACTTACATAATATTAGCTTAATTATAACTTATTGAAGTAAGTATTAAGGCTTCATTACTTAAAAAAATCTTTAATAACTTATTAGAATTAATTTGGTGATATATTAACGCCTCTACATCCTCCATCTTAACTTTATATTTGCCTGTTTTTGACATAATATGGACCTTTTTAAAGATTATTTATGTTCCTAGAACTACATGCAGACAGCAAAAATAACACACGTAGTGTACCTACTTATGCTAAATGCTCTTTAAACATAAAACACTGGCAGATAAAGAGATACAAACATCCAGCAGCAGCGAAATCGGTTAAAATTTAAAAATCAAATTAAAACAGCCCGATAAGAAAATGTTGAATTTATGCATTTAATTGTCACGTATAACAAGATATCGCGGGACGAAAAACGCAATGTCAAAAGCTTTTAGTGAATACACAAAAAAAGCAATGCAAATAAAGCAAAGTGGGAGTAGGGTCCGCAAAAGGTTCCGTAATATTCGATAGGTAACAGTAGTACTTTTGAAAACTTTATTATTTTTTACATGTACATTATGTAGAGCACATGAAGGCTCTATATAATTAAAAATCGAAAGCAAATTGAAAAAAATTTCGACTCGGGCGGGACTTGAATCGGCATCGTCAGCGTTCCGTGCTGTTGCTCTACCAATAATTGAGCTACAGAGTCCGAGGAACGCTGACAACGCTGGTTCAAGTCCCGCCCGAGCCGAATTTTTTTTCAATTTATTTTCGAGTTTTAAACAGTAGTACTTTTTTAGTTATAGAAACTGTTTACCTGTTACCGTTATTATTAAGCGTAAAAATGCTATTTTTGGAGTATCGTAGGAGAAATATTTACAAAACACTAAGTGGTATTTTAGGTTAATAAGTAAATTTAAATTTTGACTTAAAAGAGTATTTGATCAAACTTCATTGTTGTAAAATGATGTATATTAGTTAACCTGTTCAATTTATTTTAATTACAGCCCGACGTTTAATAAATTTCACGTTTTAAACCATTAACAGTGTTTTATTGAAATGTGTATCTGATCACTTCATTGTTTCCGGGACCTAATAACAACTCCTGACGATGCCGTCCTCTCGTGATCGCGGATCTTCGAGAACCTCTTCTCCGATACGGAACCCGAAAAAGAAACAAATTATAAAGAACAAGTTCAGCGTAACTCCGGAAGCGAACAGGTTCCACTGAGATACAAAACAATTAATTGGAATTTGAATTTTTACTAATGAAACATCGTTAATCGCCTGTCGTCGAACGCGGATCGCTTTTTCTGAAT